TGGCTACTCACCAAGGGCCAAACATTCTGACTTCAGGGTAACCACCACCAGTGCAGACCTGGTTCTCACAGCAACTCTCTAGAGCATTCAGACAAGAACCACGGACTGGCTGTAATCCGGAGCCAGGCGTGGAAATTCTACCCCCAGAAGGCAGTCCAGCACCTTCTTACCCTGTTGTAATTCTTGTTGCTGTGTGGGTGGCTCACTGCAAGTGAAACCAGCAGTGGCTGAGCTGGGGAGAAGCAGCCAACCTCAAACTCTGCAGCTTATGGCAAATTCCCCCGTGTCTAAGAGCTGGGGAAAAAGCAGCAAGGAGGAAAGTCCCAGTGATATGTTAGTCACCCACTCAGTAACCTGCAAGCAGAGGACATCACCACACTGCTGTGAATGCCCTGCTCTGACACAACAGAGCACAGACAGGACCATGGAAGCAGCTGATCCATCACTGAACTGAGATGGGAGCTCCTTAGGACACCTACTACTCTCCATGGACGGGGGCAGGCCTGGCACAGCCATCCCTCTGCCAAAGACAGGCTGTGGGTCACGGGCTGGTACTATACCTGCTTTTGCCATTACAATTGCCTCTCTGCATTCAGAATTTTAGGTCTCTTGCACAGATGGTCAGTTTTATAGAAAGTATTCTGGCTAAGAGCAAAAAACCCAAAAAAAACACCTCCTCCTCCTCTCTATGTAGCTGAATGTGCCTCAGCAGTCAGTCCCCCACTTGGTTCATACAGGGGTGCAGCCAGTTTTTCTTTTTTCATCTTGCAGTTTTGCTGGAGGGTAGAAGGCAGCTGTGTGGAGATTTCCATGTTGTAGAAAGCCACAGAAGGGACAGGATGGAAGCAGGACAGCACAAGCGACAAAGCAAAGCACCTTTGGCCAGAGTACAGCAGAGATGTAAAGCTCCTGTCAATGCTGCTTTCTCAGCTTGTCAAAGGAATGAGAAGAGTCAGAACTTGGCAAACCAGTGGTGCTGCTGATGGCTGTTATTAGGTACTCTGAGAAAACATGCCAAGGCATGGCAATTTAGTGAGCTTTAACTTCGGTTAAGTGTGTCAGTGAGTTACCTGGAAACTGCCCTCTTCCTCACTCGGCTGGTTTTTTCCTTTGTTTTGGAGCAATCTGCTTTGAGAGACAACAGCCCTGCAGCTGAGAACCAGACCTGTTCATTGGTCTCATTGCTCTGATTGTCAGCAAG